CCATCTGCCCGGGGGGCTGGGAATCGAACCCGGGTCGCAGCGGTGAGAGTCCTGCACTCTAACCACTAGACCACCAGAGAGACCACCAGAGCAGATGGAGCTCGTCAGCCCTGTAAGGCAATCCATCTAAGAGAAGGTCACTCTAAACAAACCTACGTCCTGGGGACCTCACTGCCACTGTCCAAGTTTGCTTGGCCCCGGCAGATGAACCTCAGGATTAAAGGGTGGGCTCAGTTCAGCGCACGCTGAGTCTCACCTAAAAAATCTACTGCGCAGGCTCGAAGGGTTAATGACCTTTCCCAAATCTTCGCTCGCGAAGACTGGCCATTATTTTTAGCATGATAAGTAAACATCTGGTGATGTCTTCTTAAGAAAAATTCTTCTTTTGAATCATATGCCAAAGGTTGGAAAGAGGGTGCTAAATATATTATTATTTAATTTTTTTTGTAATTTCACAGAATCGCGGGCTAGTTAGGGTTGGAAGGGAACTCTGGAGATCATCTGGTGTTGTGGTCTGCAGGGGCGCTGTGGGATCGCTGGAAGGTGCGGGACCTGCAGTGCCGGCCGTGGTCGGCAGGGGGCGCTGCCGGGCTCCGGCAGTCACCACGTGGCAAACAAAAGGGGTCTGGGGGGGAGCAGTCCCGGTCCGCAGGGGAAAACCGGGAGGGGGAAATAGGGGGGCCCCTTTTGTCCTCAACGGAGGGAAGGGGGTGAGGAGAAAAAAAAGTTCACCCCCCAAGAGGACCCACCGCTCCCAGATGGCAGTGTCTCCAAGGCTCCCCCCCCCTCCTTTCCCTCCCGGCAAGCACCGACCTCTCCGATGAAAAGGGAGCAGAAAACAACACTCGTCGGCCCCGGTGGGAGTCACGAGGCACCGGTGGCGCAGGGCCGGCAGTCAGATCTCGCCAGGATGAAAGAACCAGGGGAAAAAACAGCTGGCTCCCAGACTTTCCTCCAGAAATGCCCGAAAGCAGTTCCCCCCCCACACCCCGTCTCACCTGGCCCGAACACTCTGCCCTCTCTCCAGTCATCCCCCACCCCCTCCCGTGGCAATTAACCTAGGCTAGCCACATCCTTTGACACGCTAATGACCTCCCTTCCCCCTCTGAACTCTGTTTCTCTTACAGGGAAAGCAGGGGAAGAGAAAATTCCTCTTTCAGATTTATAACCCAGGACAGGTTACCTACAGCAGATTACACAGGAATGTATCTGAGTGATGTTTGAATGTCTCTAGAGACTCCATGGCCTCCCTGGTCAGCCTGTTCCAGTGCTCTGCCAGCCTCAATGTAAAGAAGTTCTTCCTCATGTTGAGGTAGAACTTCTTGTGTTTTATTTTATGGTCACTTGAGCATATTCTACAAACTTTTTTCAAAACTTTGCAGATAAACTCTCCAGTAACTCTCTCCTTATTGAGCAGTCTCCTTTAGCAACTGTGCATATGTCAGGCCAACAAAATACTCAATTCCTTCCACTTAGAGATGTAGAAGTAAGACACATTTAGTCTCAGCGCTTTGTGGAGTTGGGTGCTAGAACTTGTTTGCAGGGAATTCTCTTATTGTTTCGGTGGATTCGAGCTGTAGATAAAGGTCACTACATCTCCATAGTCCATAGACTCTGAGGTGGACAGACATGGCACTGGTCACATCCCTATGTCCCTTCTCAGCTGCCTGTCAAAGCAGGCTTGCTTCTTCTAAACTGCCTGCTGGGGATAGTCCTTGACCTGCACTGACCACCACACTGTGCCCAAAAGTATTTTGGGAGCAGAGATAGACAGCTGTGAGACACCTGCTATAGTGTGGCTTGCTTCTATAGGTGTGGTCTGATGCATTCCACTGCAGTGGAGATAAAAGCTGAACTGGAATAAAAAAAGGAGTAAACTGGGACAGAAGGAGAATGCGGAGAAGTAGAAAAGGAGACTGATCTGGGGCTGAGATTGACAGTCAGAGAGTGAAATAGAAGACTTACTTTACCTGAGAAGGATGGTTAGCTTCACCTTCTGTCACTCATGTACCAATCAGAAGTCTTCTAGGTAACATACCTAATTCCTGCCTAGTATTTGGAGCTTATGAAATACAAGACACACAGGCTGTCACAGGTGACCAGGACACCACTAGGCACATGCTCTAACAGAAGTTTAGACTCACACTTGGTTTTAGGTTTTTGCTCTGCTCTGTTCTGTGTTCCTTCAGGCTCAACATACCTCAGCAATCCCAGAATCAAGGGAAGATTATCCTAAGCACCATTTCACAAGCAGATGTACTGGTTTAATTGCACACAGCCATAAAGAGGAGTGTTCCTGCTCCCTCTACACTGTTCTTGGGCTGCTTAGAGGCTCCCTCAAGCCACTTCAGCTCACTAGAATGGCAGGATGCTGTCTTGTTTGCTATTTTTTTCCTTTCTTCTGAGGCAGTTTTCTGCCATTTCAGTGACCCCTGAGTGGTCCAGCAGGCACAGGTGCAGCAGCAAGAGGAGGGCTTCCCCTTCTCACAGACGTGAACTCACCACAAGTTTAAAGACTGACTTGTCACCTGGAAGCTAGTACACTTTTCAAGAACAGGGAATGTGAATTTAAATTCCCCCTTTTTTAAGCCTAGGTAAGACCTGAGGTCTTGTTGCCCTCTTAAAATGAGACTTTTAATTACTAAGCAAGAAAGTCCTGGCTCTGGCTCATGATGTATTCCAGGGCCCCCACTTGATTTTAGAGTGTCACAACATGGAACGGGAGGCTACGCGGACAACTTCCCTGATCACCAAAGCTGTCATTCAAATCAGTTCTCTGCCTAACTGGTCCTCACTCTTCTCTTTATAGATTTGCAGAGATACATTTGTATTTCAGTGGACTCTTAACCTTTACTATTTCTTCCTACCCTTGCATTTGCAGAGGTGACCCAGAGAGGTGAAAGTATTCTATGTTACTGTCCTGCATGATCCAGCCCTCCACAGACACATCAAAACAAATTATTCTCACAAACTTTGAAAAGGAAATAAAAACAAATAGAGAAAATCTACATGATAATTTTGCAACATTCTTACCAACATCAGTGTCTGCATAGTGCTTTCATAAATAGAAATTTCAATGTTTAAAAAAAATATTTTTATATCTCTGCATAAAAGCCTTACTTTTCTGCACCCTTTAACTAATACTTCATAAGAGACTTTTTCAAGGGGTGACTTAATATCAAAGAGCTATCTTTGAAAAACACATGCAGAAAAAGCAAGTTACTGAAAAAGATTCAGTAGTTTACACAAGTTTTCTTCACTATTGTCATTTTTTATCACAACCCAAAGCAACAGCAATGCAGTATCCCTTGATATATGCTTAGCTTTCATCCTTACAAGCTATTTTTTTAACTCATATTTTAAATATGGATTGGGAAACCAGTAAAAATATCTCTTTTTACTCTCAGGCATGTCTGCAGATGTGCAGTATGTTTTCTTTGACAACTCTAGCAGTTAATATCGCAAACAGGTTTCAGAAACACTACAGTATTATCACAAGGCAGGGTAACTCTTAAATGAGTAATAACACAGCTTTAATCAGTTTTAACCTGTATAAAGTTCTCAGAGATCACTGTTGTGAAGTGTAAGCAGTCAAACGTAGAAGATGGCTCCAGCTCATTCTACAGAATTGCATTCAGTAATACATAGATTTGCAACTCTCAGAGCTTCTGTGCGGACCATTCCACCACTGCCAATGTCCAGGATAGTTTTTTCACCATAGGAAATTAAATTATATCAATATGTATAAGCACAGCAACATTTCCAAGCCATTGAATAGTCCCAGACAGTATTTAACTTGAATTCTCTGCTAATGTTTAAGGCTCTGGAGACCTATCCATAATTATTTATGTACCTATTGTCCAAGTGTTCCTTGATTTCACAGTCATAATGCTGACTGCAAACTAAAAATAGTTGAAATGAAGAGACAGGCAAAGACAGAAGGCTGCAATGAAGCTTCTGTATCTCAATGTTTATTACTTAAAATAACATCTAACCTTATTTATGATCCGTGTATGTTTCTTAGGGATGCAGTGGCATGTCTGTAATAGCTCAAGGG